CCTCAGTTTGACAAAAAACTAAGACCTAATTCAAAAATCGACGCCGGTCAGTCGATGTAGTTTCTTTTCCTCTTTTAAACAAAAAAAGAATGAACTCTCTACGACAGACCGCTATTAAAAATCTTGGGACGCACTTCAGGTGTGACTCTTATATAGAGAAAAAGATGTATTAAACGCTGTATGAAATACTCGATTTTAGGACTTGTAGAAAAATGTCTGTAACTTTTTGATGCAAGGTCAAACAGAGTTGTGCGAGGTCTTATTTTGATCAGAAACGTTTGCTCTACAAAGTTGTGTGTTCAGAAAAATTTTAATTGCATACGTATCCAGGAAAAAACTATTATTTGAGGACCCGGTTTTTCGAGGATCTCAGAAAACTTGCTCAAAATCCCCGAAAAACCACTTTTGTAACCAAAAGCAATACTGATTCTGGAAGTAGACACTTCAGGCTATCTTTCCATGTGCGTATCTCAAAACCGATTTTTTGACCGAAAATCACCATTTCTGAGGGGGGACCCTTAATTTTGAATCAGGATGTAAAAAACAAATCGCAACATCGAACATCTAACTAGAGTTTTTTTCTATAAGCGTTCACGTCGACGCATCGCTAGATTTCATTTTCAAGCACTTTTGTTTTTGCAAACTTGACCATTATTGTGTCTTTTAAATAAAATATTTTTAGACACAAAATTTTCAATTTTTGATTAAATAGCATAAAGTCAGAAAAGATTCCAGAACACAGGGTAGAATTAATCCTGTTCACAAAAACTTGAATGAAAAAGGCGGGGAATATTTAAAAAATGAGGCATTTTCTTCCTCAAGCAACATAAAAAACGATCATTTAGATTCCGATTTTCCTTTTTCCCTAGCTCTGAGCTTTTTACTTTTATCTGAGAATCCTGTTTTATACGTAACAGATCTTCATCTCATGTCTGATTATTTAGCATCGTCAAGAGACTTTCAAAGCACCCTAGTGAGTGGAAATAATAGCACACCAAACCTCTCACGTCATTCAAATAATCATCGCGTGTGATCTTCAATGTTTCGATCCTCCACTCAAATCTTGCGCGCTTCATTCTACCTAGACGGGTCAAATGTCGGCCTAAATAAAGAAGCATTCGGGATCAAAATTACAGACGAAATAAAAAAACTGCTTTTCATAATCAACACTGTACTTTTGACTAATCTACATTACTTTATACAAGTTTTCGTATACGGAAACAATTGTGCCGTTTATCCAATATCAAAACTATTTCTGTCCGATTAAAAAAAGTATTTTATTCTATCTGTATTTTCTGAATGCTATAAAAATTTTGCGTATGCTTCTGACAAGTTCTTGGCTCGTATTGATGAAGAGAACAGTATTGCTTTGATTTTCTAAAAAGAACCAATTGGACAAGCGCTATCGATTTTAAGAACGATAAATTTAGACTTGAATACTATGGTTTATGGGCTAGAGTAACGGATACATCATGTGAAGTACTAGTATATTAACCAATATCTATTAGTAGAAGGAATACGTGTTCAGCTAGTAAACTAATTTCAGATCCTAGTGATTGATGTATTTTAGATTATTGGGCTTTCACACATAACGGTTAAAAATATGTGTGGTTCTAAATTAATGTTTCAAAAGTAAATGTTAGTCTGATTATCTTTTCATTTTCTATTATCAATTTTACTATATTATTACGAAAAATGTCAAAATTCGACGAAGATGATTACTGGCAACACTCAAGTATTAGAGATAAAGTTAAACAACATGAAATGTTCGATCTCGATAGAGGACATACGATGGAGGTGAGTTAATCTAATGCGTATGTTATATATGATATTCTTTGGAGAATGTCAAAAAACAGCTAATATTGTTAAACTAAATATTTTGTTACTTTTAGAGATTTAAACGATCCGATCCGTTGGCAGGAAGTCAAATGTTATACTAACTAATTGACCAACGTAAGGAAAAGATAAATGTTGTAGTGGATGAAAGGTTCCGTTTTTGTGCTTGAATACTGGATATAGTTATAGTTAAACTTTTTTTTTTTGGCATGAGAATGATATAATTTTGAGATCAATAGAAAGTACAGATCACGAGCAATTTATTCCAAAGTTGATACTATCCTTTCGTCTTTAAAAAGTAAGTTAAATCTTATGTTTACTTTTTACCAAGCAAAGGTAAAAAGAGTCTTTTACTTTTAATTGGTAAAAAGTAAATAAATTTCATGGTGATATCCATAGTTGTCGAGTTTTTGATCTATAAAGAGCACTTTCCTTAATTAATAAAAGTTTTCTTTTTACTTTTTACTTCTGTAAAGTAAAACATTTTACTTACTTTACCCGGCAAAGTAAAAAAAGTAAAAGTAAAAGTACCACTCCTACTAATCATATTAATACGGATCTCATGAGTCCGGAAACAAATATTGGAGCTGATAAGTCAAGTATCGATCTAGAACGCATATCTAATGTAAGACAATGTAGTCTTTCGGATACTCTACTACAACTCTTCAAATGAAGTATATGAATGACGGATTACAACGACGATAAATCGAATGATCGAATATCGAATACGGCGATAAATCGAATATGCAATGAAAAAAGTTCGTATAGTGTTTGATACTAATTCTACAATTGACGATGGCTTTAGCTCTAAAGATCTTCAATCATTTCATATCGGGAATGGTATATAAAGCCACTTGCTCAACTTGTGGTGAAAAATATGTTGGACAAATCAGCCAGCATTTCACCACTCGAGGGGACGAATATTTAATCGATCTAAATAAGCTGTTATCATCTAATTCACCAGTGCTAACATTGCGGGCTCGACTAGTTAAATCGTATACAACTCAACTAAAACCTTTTCGTCAACATTCTAACCAATAAGTAGTTTTAGAACCGGTAAGTCAGGCAATAACTAATAGCAAGATCTTTGAATGCCGTACAAATACTGAGTCGAGTTGGTTTTGAATGGAATTAGAAGAAACGAGAGGATATCTGTTCCTAGTCCATATAAAGCATATGAAATCAAACTCTTGATCTAATAATTTATACGTCGAACACTTGTATGTAAAATGAAATAAGGGATGGAACAACATCATCCGGGTTCCATATTGGACACAACAGGACGAACACATCATCAACTTATCATCCCCAATATTTATTTCCAGACTCATGAAAAGCGTAGTGAAAACGCTTTTCATTATCGGACATTAATATCTCTGCTAGTAGGTCTGCAAACTCATGCTCACATCTTCGACCTGCTCATATATGTGACCATTGAGAAAAAAGTGAGAATTTTTTCCCACACTTACGATCAGCCTTCCGAAAGCTCACAAACCTGAAACACTGATGAGATTTGTATTAGTTGCTTAAGTTAATATGATTAGTGACGACCATCGCTAGTGATGTTATCCTGTTTTGAGAAGATAATGTCAGTTTTTTCAAATATAACTTATTTTTGAAAGTATAATATCTCATTTTTAATCGAAAAAGTTCTTACATTCTGTTTAGGCGTGTTATATAAGAACAGTATAACAATTGATTACACTGTAGTTATTCTTGATTGAATAAAGTTTGAGAATAAAAAAAGTATCCAAGTTATTGTATATCGAGTTAATATTAGTATCAACTATATTCTACATAAATTCCATTTTTAGGAAAAAATAATAGATTCGAGTCGTCTGACAACAGTCGCGCAACAGAACCACTTTCAGCTAGATATAAGAGTACGTTGAAAACTGCAACGACTTCGCCAGCGGCGGTCTCAGAGATAAAAAATCAAAGAACTATACGAACAACTATATAGTCGACAAGTGCGAGAAATGATTATACTACACCATATAATGATCAAAAACATCCAGAATATACGTATATCTATACACAACCAATAATAGTTTAATTTTATTCGAGATTGTTCATTGAATCTAATGAGATAACTTCTTTTTTCAAAAAGTAGAAGCACTCTGTTAATCAACTGCTCGATTTTTTGATTTTTGTTATTCAAGTTTCGTTAAACTATCTCATGGAAAAAAAAAGCAAGGTTGATTGACTGATGTAACTAGAATTTCATAGATTATTTTTTTATCGAAGTCTATAGGTGATCTGAATATTAAAAAATCTAATTCACAACCTCACGTCACATGGCAGAAGTGTAGTGTCTAACTTAAACGTCGATGAGATCATAGACGACAGAGAATTTTGAAACTAGGTGAGACTCAAAATAATTTCTTCTCTTTCCCCCCCGTTGACTTTTTACCAAAATGTCAAGCAGAATAAAAAAAACAACAGGCAAATCAATAAAAAATAGAAATAAAAAAATACACCAAAAAACTGTTTTCTCTGTTAGTTCTTGGATACAAAAATAGAACAAATTCTGTTAGAGTCAAGAGAATTTATTCTCTGTTCTGTATAGACGGGTCAAACTATGTGTTTTAACGAAATGTTAAATCCCCCAAAATCAGATGAGGCTTGAGCCTTTTCAGCTTCTTGAGTCCACTGCCTATGATCAACATTGATCAAGGATCGAATATAAATCTGAGATACTAACACTTACTAGTATGTGCTAGAGTATATTGATTATTCGTTAAGCATGTCGTTATCTGACTGATTGAATGATTTATTTTTGATGTATTTGACGGATATACAAATAACAAGAGTAATATAGTTTCTTTCTTCTTTTGTCGACAATTAACCTTTTTGTTTGTAAAAATGTGTAAAGAACAAAGGAAGAAAATAAAAATAAAGAATGAATGAATGAATGAGTGATAAGATTCTCCGTACACTTAAGCGACTTTTGATATTTACTGCATATAGGTTAAAAACATAGAATAAAGTGAATAAAATAAAACACTGATAAAACAATTAATTTTCTTCTTCTTCTTCTTCTTGTTCATGGCTGATCAGAATGAGTTTGTGAAAAAATCTCATAATAAAAAATTGTTACTTAAAGTTGGTAAAAAATCTGAAAAACTTGAACAAAATTTAAGTAGTCAAACATCAGCTATTTCATCTTCATCAATATCAATACCATCATTAAACGATTTTTCTCAGAATAACAATGAAGTGGAAACTCATTTTCGAAGTGGATATATATCGAATGATGATCATGTGTCATTAAAGCACTCTTCCCATGATAGTTCAGAAAATCGACATAAAAAGGGTATGTACAAGTGAACTTGGAAAGAATTTGATGAATTTTTAAAATAGTTTTGTTTTGAGATAAAGATAAGCAAAGAAATTGTTTTTTTGCTTCTAAGTTGAAATATCTTGGATATTTTTTCACATAAATACTAATTAATTATCATTACTTTTTTGTTTTCGTCTTTTAGCTAGCCATCATGTACAGGTAACATAAATTTTTGAATCATAAACTCGCTTGAACTTTTATCCATCGCAATTTTTAGAATGGAAGTACACAATTCGATTCTGAAATGAAAATCAAATGTATAGAGTTAATGAAATCTAAAGTAAAATTTTATGATCTAACTTTTCTACATGATTTTCATTGATTTTGTCGTTTTAGAATGTAACATTATTAAATGATGTGAGAGACTTTGATGCTAAAGAAGCGCTACTACGTCAGGCTGTAGAGATCAATACGATGAGCGTTACTGTACCAGTATGGACATTTTTTTTGTTTAGTTTTCCATGTAAAAATATTTGTTTTTCTTTTCTAGGTAATCATTTTTTTAGAAAATACACTGTCACGTTCATTATTCTTTGAATTGATCAATCAACATCCATCAGCAATCAATCACTACATAAATATGTGTAAATTACGTTTAGAAAAAGAATATTTTATTGCCATGTTAAAGTGAATATTCGCGAGTTTGATTAAACAAAAAATGGTTGTGAAATTATTGAAATCTCTATTTTTTTAGACAATTGGGAAAACACGAAGATGCTGCTGTAAGTATTTTTAACAAGATATCACATCTTGTATACGAAATAAATATATAATCATTCATATTTTAGATGCTTCAAATTCGTCGAGCAAGTCAAACGAGCGAAATTCAAACAAAAGTAATGTTATTGACCGAAGCTATGAAGTAATATTATTCATTTTCATCTTTCGTTTGTCTTTAATAGTATCGAATTTTAGTGAACTTCATTCAAATGTGTGGTGGCAAACACAAGTCTCTGATTATAGACGTCTTGTTGAAAAGCAACAAACTTTATACGTAAGACGATTTAAATATAATACAACTTTATTGTAATTTTAAAGTTTTATTTATTTAAAAGCAATCACGATCCTATGGACGAATTCAAGTTGAAAATCGATCATTACTACATACATTTAAAACTGTTTATAATTCAGATTTTCCAAAATCTGACAAAAATGAATCTAAAGAATTAGAAACAAATTTTAAAGTAAGTAACCGTGGTGTATATTTGATTGTATAAAACAAAAGAATTAACTTAGATATCACCAGAATTGTCCATGTATGTTAAATTATCGGTAATAGCTGAAAATGGAATCGCAACACATTATCAAGAATTTGTAACGACAGCTATTCAACCAGTGAGGATTATTTTAAGAAAATGACTCTTTTTTTTTTATGATATGTAAGTGTTTTATATTTTTAGGGTATATTAAAACAAAAACATGTAATTTCTCCACATATACTTGCTGATATGGTCTACAGTGCATCACGTGATTCTGGTGAATCTTCTGAACAGGCTAGTGACAGAGCCAAAAGATTTCTGACTATGATAGTTGATCCGGAGAAACGTGTTTTCTATGCTGAAAAATTTGGTAATTATGAAGTGGCAATCGATGTAAGAAATCTGTTCCTATGGGGGTTTAACATTACAATGGTTTTTAAAGTACTGACTAGTAGAGATATGTTTTTTTCTTTCATTATCGTAGACAATCGTTAATCATTTGAAAGATCGTACAAAACTGGAGAATTTACGTAAACGAATGCCAAAAGATCATCCAGCTATAATGAAAGCCACAACATTCTTAGAAGTAAGTCGTTTGTCTGTTACCCCATTCTTGTGGAAAATTGCAACTTTTATCGTCTAATTTCCTTCATTTTGATCGCATCGCATGCCGATGTTATGTATTTTGATATATTCATTATTTTTTTTCATCTTAGATGCCAAAATGGAAAAGTTAAATTAATTGTGAAAATACAATTACTGATAAATCTATTGCGATACATCAACATCATTTATTGACTTAGTTTTATGCATTCTTTTAAGATTTTCTTGAAAACTAGTGCTTAGGTCAGATGACTACTCTTCTAGATATTTTCTGTAAGTATTGAGTAATTCTAGTTTGCTAAACAACGTTTTTCTTTTTATTATATATTTTTATTTTTTTATTCGATTGAATTTTTTCGTATATTTTTGTGAATGAGAGATTATAGTAATATAAATTTTTTTGCATTATTTGAAAAAGGCAATAAACTTGAAAAGAAACACTACTAAACGATTTTATGTAAAATAAAACTTGTCTGAATAAAAACTACAAAGTAGTCTGTAGATGGATGAAAAAAAAGTCTCTTATTTCGTATACTTCTGCTACTTTGAAAATTTATTATTGATCGGATAAAGGTCTTGTGAAAAAAATAAAATGCTACTTCAGATTTTCGAATCTCTTTTTTTTTTATCCTTCCTACTGAGATATTTACTACTGTACTAATAATAGGGCTATTTTTTGCAGATATCTCAGTAATAGTAGAGAAAATCTAAAACAAGGAAAACAGATTTGAAAGTATTAAATTGCCCCTAAATTTTTTTACCATCACTAAGACGACAATAATTTCCTTAAATTGATTCAAAAAGTTCATTTATTTCTTTAAACGGGTGATCTTCGAAGTATTCGAGTTATGAACAAAGTAGACGTTGAAAGAATTTACTTGCTGTCTAAAAATCTGATAATAAAATAGATATTTCTTAAACACTTTCTGATGTTGTCGTCATCAAGTATAAAAATTTTCACGCTGATTACTACAACGTTTATCTGAAAATATTATTCCTATTTTTGTTCAAGTATGATGAACAACCATTTTATCTGAATACACTGCGCCCGCTTTTCGTGTATCGATTCGTTGAGTATCTTCAGCTATATCTAAATTTGATTCAAATTTATTGGTTTTTAAATACATAGCAATTCCACTGATTAATAGACACATCAACATAATGATTGCAGTTATCCAAATGGCAGCCAACATAAGAATAAAAATGACGTCCGAAAATTAGTAAATTAGAGAAAATAATATTTAATTCGAAAATGGTGTATACATCTGATTTTATTAGAAAAATGTATATCATAACAATCAAACGTATAAAATGTGACCATGACAATTTCGATTATCTTTAATGATAACAGAAACGAAAGTATAAACTTTCTTCATGTAGAAAAACTGATCAAAATGTTTGGTCATAACTATATTAATCAGAAGATTGTTGTTTTATACTTAGGAAGTTAAGCGATGGTATCGTGAATAAATCAGAAATGCAGTTTTACATTTTCAATAGATTTTGTTGTCTGCTCTTCTTATTCTCCTACAGATACAATTCTGCTTGCCGTAGACTCTCCTATAATCGCTTCTGTTGAGTTCTACTGATCATCAAAAAGTGTTGAAAGAACACATGCTGTGTTCATGTCAAAGAAACAGGTGTTTTGTCTATTTTTTTGTTTTCGTGCGTTTGCCCTCCTGTTGATTTTATACATCATAAAGGTTGTTGCAAAGTTCTATGTTTGGAATTTAGAATATTTATGATCGATAAATTAGTTTAGAAAAGAGATCATGCTGATGTTGAAGTACACTTTGTCATAGATGAATGAGAGAAGATCACACTTGCAGTTTTTCGTCATGTCTGTATTCATCATGTCTAAATGTCGATTTTCAAATTTAACTTTCTGTAGGAGACAGAGATAACGATACCAATTATTTCTTTTTATTATATCTATGATCCAATACAATAAAAATACGGTGATGAAACCAGGCACAGAACTTCGATTAAATTTGACATGGTTGAAGGCAGAAAATATTATTAATTTAGAATAATAACACAACTTTGATATGACATAACAGTATGACAAGATATAATAGTTTCTTCGTACACTTTTCCTCTATTGGATCATATTTCAGTTGAGTCTTTTATGTGCATTTGAGTCTTCAGATGAGTACTATATTATCGGGCACAGATCATAGAATCTAAGATGACAATTTTCTAGACAATTAGAATGAAGACCTGTTTAGATGAATTGAACAAGGATTTTTTAGAGAACGAAGTTACTGCTGAAAAAAGAACGATTTCGAATTCCGAGTTCAAAAGACTGTACAGAGAACGGTCAAACTGTTTGATAGTAAATTATGATCCCTATATATTTGACATTATATGCCAAAAAAGTACAAATATATATGGTATTTAAAAAGTAGAACAAGATTAGACTGTTTTGGTCTACCACGTTCTTCTTGCCCTGAAAGCATACAATCATTTGCAGTAATATAATAGGCAAAAGTACTATAGTGAAAAAATATCTTTTCAAAACTGTTCCCTTTTCAGTTTTGTTCTCTAAACATCATAAAAATTAAATAATTCGCGCTTCGTTCTGCATTCAGTCCAAACTCCGTTCTCTTTTCATATCTTTTCTAGAGGACACTTATAGGACAAAAATTTAGAAGAGAACGGTTTTTCACTTTTCAGAGAACGATTCGCAGTTTTTAGAGAACAGATATTTTTTATAGCTAAAAAGAGAAGGGATAACATTGTTTTTGGATATCATCATGTTCAAGATCCGTCAAAATGATAAAACTTTGGTAGAAAACGACCAAGGCGCGCTTGGCATTGCTGAAATAAACATCAAAACACGTTATTTTGTTTTTGTTTCGAAATTTACTTATTGATTTTGATTCTTTTGAATAAGGTGTACATTTTACTGATTCGATAATTTCGGAAATTCATGAGGGCTGAGGACGGATATATCAAAGCTCAGGAGGCTACATATGAATCATACAAATTCAAAAACTGTTCTTCAAATAATGTTATCCGTTCTCTTTTTGGCTGTAAAAAATATCTGTTCTCTAAGAAATGCGAATCATTCTCCAAAAAGTGGAAAACCGTTCTCTTTAAATATTTTTCCCAAGGATTTTGAGTTAAATAAATATGGTGAAAAAGAAAGACTTTAACGAAATTCGTTTTAATGACAATTTATATATATTAAATTTTTTAGGATCTCTGTTTACAGAAAAAAAAGGACATCTGTTGTGATTTCATACAGGAAAGTGCAAAATCATTAAAAATAACAAAAAGAAAATTCTTTTTTGTTAGAAGATTTCAGCATCATGGCGATAGGAGAAAGGAATAGACAGTCCCCTGTTTTTAGTCTTTTTTCTTTCATTTTAAAATTTCTCGCATTTTCCCAAATCCAAGAGTTACCTTTGCTCAACACGTTGAATAAATGAGAGAACAACCATAAAATGATGACAGAAGTTCATTTTCTCAAACGAAGAAAGTGAAGTTTGGAGAAAGCTGGTTCTACATAGTTGTTCTTCCAATAAAATGTACTCCTCTCCCTTTGTTTCAAAGTCGAATAATAGATAGTAATTAGATAAATTTAATAAATTAATTCAGTCTAAAATAGATAGATACGAATAGTACGAGAACTGTGTAAACTGTGTACTATAATAATCATCATCCACCGTTTTATTGGTGATCGAGTTTAAGTCTTTTGAAAAAAATTTTAATTTGTCTCACAGATCCTTTCTTTTAAACTATACTTAGTTGTAAAATAGAGCGTGGTTGAAACAAAACACATAAACTATTAAAAACAATTGAATTGATTGATTTTTTTGTTCAAATATATTACCTCCGTTATGAAGAAAGGACGAAAATGTTGAGAGAAATAAATAAAAACTTATATCAGTCAAAGGTTTACAAACAAGAACGTTAGTAGTACACCAGAAAATAATATACGTAGAGACAGTTATGTGAATCAATATGTGAATGACAACCATTTTCATTAGCTTGTATAAATTCTAAATTTTGTTATTGTTTTTTCTATGAAGGGCATGAAGTTTTAAGTTCTTTTCAACAGTAGAAATGAAAGAGTGAGTCGAAAACTTGTAAGTACCAAGGAACTGATTAAATAACGTCGAATTATGGATTCGTCTCTTGTCACACAGAGCTCTATCAGACAGATTGGAACAATCTTGTGATATACGTACGCTCCAGTTTACAGATGCTTCGCGTCTCTTAAATTGTTTCATAATTAAACTACAATAACAGAGTAGATATGAGACATGATAAACTATTAACACGGCGCATTCTGATACGCACATGCACATGTTGATAGTTGATAAAGAGAATAAATAATTAAATTTATAATTAAACATATTCTAGCTGCTATTTCCTCTGAAAGCCTTCTGAAAAACTTAATTTTATATTCATTAAATTCTACATCGTTTTTTACCTATACGTTTATATGTTGACAAGATTTAAATGAAAATTAAAGTTTTTACTCGAAGCTGACCACCCCCATTTCGGTGCACAAAATTCAAGAAAAAAGAAAATGCAGCTTTTCAATAAAGAGACAATATTTTCAAAAAAGCGATCCGTACCTATTCCCCCACTGATATAATGATTCAAATGACGGTAAGAAATTTTTTTTATCTCTTAATCAGAAAAACTAGATAGGTTTGCAAGATGAACAGGGCTCGTTTCTGGTTCTACTCGGGTTTCTCAAAATCTGGCTCTATTTTAGCTGTCACCTTACTAGCAGTGAGATGTGTGGGATTTCTGAATGTCTAACAAGAACTTCCCTTAAACAAACAATTCCACTAGTCACCACTGGTCACACACACTTCAACTGACTTAGGGAACAAAATAATTTCTCATAGGAATCACAATTCTGGAATTTTAAATCAAGTTCAGTATAAATTCCAAGGGAACTGAAATTCCAACAGTCGAAATATTTAGTCAAAAATTTCTTTTTCCCTTCAGACTTTTGAAATAGAATTCTCATTTTTTACAGCAAAATTAGGCCAGAATTCGGTGATGAAAAGTATTCTTATTGTTCGTTCAAAAATTTTTGGGGTTGGGTCGCTCTCACATTTCTTCACTATGATTACACGTTTAGCCTATATTAGTGAGAATTCCTGTCACTTCAATAGATTTCGGAAATTGTGGTGTTTCAACAAAATTCTAGTTTTCAGAAATCAAGAATTCTACACCACTGCTGCTCTTGACTGATAATTAGATTTGATTACTAGTAAAAACTATATGCTAGAGTTTAACATAAATGAGAAAATTATCAACTTGTAACAACTTGTTCATTAATTTTCTAAAGTTCGATAGCCAAACTTTTCAAGTTCTAAACATTCAGCTACTGTTCTTACTCCAGCGCATGGTGTTGAATCATTTAAACAAGCCGCCGCTGCACAAACAGCTAAACGTAATCGATCTTTGATGGACCATTGCTCGTGCGTTCCGAAAATAATTCCAGCTGCAAATGCATCTCCAGCACCAACAGCTCCTTTAATGAAACCATCTGGTAAAATGATCGATCCTTGTACATAAAGGTTGTCATCATTTTTTACAGCTGTTACGGCTCCATCATCAAAATGAATTGTAACTGTTTTTCGCACACCATAATTTAATAATTCTTTAGCAGCATATTGAATTGTTTTCAAATCTGATAAAGATCGACCAACGATAAAACCAGCTTCGGTTTCGTTCAAAATCAAATGATCTACGTAGGGCATCGATGATATAGCAATTTTTGAATAATTTGTATTTGATGCACTAACAAAATCGATTATAGTCTCTAAACCAGAATTTAAGGCACACTCTAATAATTTTGAGGCAACTGTTCGAGTAGGATCATCTGATGAAAAAGCATCAAGTTGATCTAACAGAGTGAGGTAGCCAAGATAAAAGAATTTTGCATTGGTTTTCGTGAAGTTAAAATGGTTTTCATTCAATAGAGCATTTGTTCCACGTTGATTGAAAAATGTTCGTCGACCAGTTTTTTCTACAGACATTACATATGTGTACGAGGTAGGAGCCACATTGCTCACGTGTAATTGTGACACATCAATATGAGATTGTTTGCAATCGTCTATTAACCATTTACCGTTTTCATCGTCACCAACTAGACCACAGATCGACAATGGAAAATTAACTTTCATTGCCGAAAGATCTTTGAGTATGTTAAATGACCCACCACCACCGGTTGTTGATTCAGACAATATCGATGCCAACGAACTTTCCGCAGGAAAATGATCAATAACTGTAATATAATCAACCAGTAGTGTACCACTCGCCAGTAAACCAGTTCTATCAGTCATTGAAAGATGATGTATCCACACGCTAAAATATGATGATAATGGAATATATTTCACTGGTATAGGTTTTTTTCTTCCTTTTTTACCATAGTTATTTTCTCTACTGATACCTTCATATTTACTTTTTTTAAGGTAAAGATAAAGATACAAGCTATAGTCGAGAACATATATGTCACCGTATCTATTGTAGAAAGGGGATAAAAGGTACTAAAACAGAATTAAATTGACAAGAATAGTTAGTTCATCATATAGATCTTCATTCTAAAAAATATTAAACTCAGCTATTATACTAAAATCTATGAAACAAGAGATAATACGATAAACAATTCTAAGGTAGACATGTCTATATTGACTGCAAAATGGGCGTTATCTTGAAGTTTAAAAAAAATAAATTTTTATTAACTGAACAGTCAAATAGAGTGAAGTGTCGTTTGAAGTGTCATTTAAAAATGACCTATCTCCCCTCTCCTCGTCTCCAATTTAGGTTATAGTTAAAGTTATGAGGTATATATGTGCCGTTACTACCTTACTTGATATTGAAAATTGCGTCGAATGATTGAATCGAATGATTCAGCTTTCGGTTCAATTCGATTCGGCTGCTTGCCCGAATCGAATCGAACGTGATTTTTAAAACATGGAGTCGAATCGAACTGGAGTCGAATTTGGTTTTTGAAAGGCTAATCAACCGGTCAGTCGCACATAACCGACATAACCGTAATTTTTGGTCATTAATGTTGAGATCTTTTCAATTCCTTGTGGCTCAGCTGCGGCTGAACGAGAATTCAGCGTCGGTGGTCAAATTATTAACCAACGTCGCTCAAGCTTAGACCTATCGAGTGTCAGCAACATATTATTTTTACGTTCGATCGAAAATAATAAATGGAAAGACTAATCATGCAAACATAAACATTTCTTGTTTATATTCTTCTCCTTGTTTGTTTTGTTTTATTTCATGTTTCAAAGTTCTACCCTAGTCGTCAATTCTTATATAAGAATTGGACGGGAATCTGGTAAGGATCTTCTCAGCTTCTTGTCTGCTTTTGCTAAGAATCTTATCCGATTCTTATCAGATTCTTATATAAGAAGTGGCACGAAAGTTGCACGAATTTCGTAAGAATCAGATAAGAATCGAGTAAGAATCTTATAAGAATTTCATAAGAAAGTGATAAGA